CTTTACCAATTCAAGGTCATGCCATTTGGGCTCTGCAACGCTCCAGCGACCTTCGAGAGAATGATAGACACGCTCCTACAAGGATTTAAATGGTCGCCATGTTTGTGTTACCTGGACGACGTGATCATTTTCTCACCTACCTTTGCAACGCACCTTGAACGCCTTTCGACCATTCTATCCATATTTCGACGGGCCGGCCTGCAGCTCAATTCCTCCAAATGCCACTTCGGTCTTCGTCAGATTACCGTATTGGGTCACCTTGTTGACGCTGCGGGCGTACGGTCAGACCCGGTGAAAGTACGCACTGTAACAAATTTCCCGGTCCCACGCTCTGTCCATGATGTTCGCAGTTTTGTGGGCCTCTGCTCCTACTTTCGCCGGTTCGTGTAAACTTTGCGGCACTCGCCCGGCCACTCACCAACCTTCTCAAACAAGACGTCTCATTTTCTTGGGGCCCTCCTCAAGCTGACGCCTTCTCTCAGCTAATCACTGCTCTAACGACACCTCCTATCCTTGAACATTTCGACCCCGATGCTCCCACATAAGTGCGAACAGACGCGAGTGGTCACGGAATTGGTGCAGTTTTGGCGCAAATTCAGCGGGACAACGACTGTGTAATCGCGTACGCAAGCCGTCTTCTTTCTTAGTCTGAACGCAATTACTTTAGAACAGAACGGGAATGTGTCGCTCTTGTTTGGGCGGTTTCGAAATTCCGTCCTTACTTGTATGGCCGCCCTTTCCGTGTCATCACAGATCATCACGCGCTGTGTTGGCTTTCTTCTCTGAAGGACCCCACTGGACAACTTGATCGTTGGGCATTACGCCTACTGGAGTATTTCTACTCGGTTGCTTATGAGTCTGGACGTCTCCATCTGGACGCCGATTGCTTATCCCGCTACCCTGTTGATCAGCCCGACGAACCAGACATCGAGCCTAGCCTCAGCGTCATGTCAATGTCCATGTTTCTTCAGATACGTGATGAACAACGTCGTGTTGCTTCTCTGCGACAACTTATTGACCGTCTCGAATCTGCTCCGAACAACACGTCACTTCGCATGTACGTCCTCCTGAATGGCACGCTGTACCGTCGTAGCCTCCAGCCAGATGGCCCTGAGCTCCTTCTTGTCGTGCCGAAAAATTTGCGTTCAACCGTGCTGCATGAGCTTCACGATGAACCAACTGCTGGTCATCTGGGTGTATCTTAGACGTACGACCGCGTGCGTCGCCGCTTCTTTTGGCGTGGTCTCGCCCGGTCCGTTCGCCGTTACGTGTCCTCCTGCGATAAATGCCAACGTAGGAAGCGACCTACTGTGCCCCCGGCTGGACTTCTTCAACGGATCTCCATCCCAACCGAACCTTTCTTCCGTGTTGGTATAGATCTTCTCGGTCCTTTTCCCGAGTCGAAATCGGGCAACAAGTGGGTCGCCGTTGCTATAGACTACGCGACTAGGTATGCCATCACTCGAGCGCTCCCCACCAGCACCGCTACTGACGTTGCGGACTTTTTACTCCACGACGTCATCCTACACCATGGCGCTCCTCGCCAATTACTCACGGATCATGGCCGTGCATTTTTGTCCCGTGTGATCAACGATCTTCTGCGCTCTTCCTCAACGCACCACAAGCTGACCACTTCCTACCATCCCCAAACAAATGGCCTTACCGAACGGCTAAATCGGACCCTAACGGACATGCTCGCGATGTATGTGTTCTCCGACCACCATGACTGGGACCTGGCGCTACCTCACGTGACCTTCGCGTACAATTCTTCGCGCCACGACACCACTGGTTATTCACCTTTTTATTTGCTTTATGGCCGTGATCCGACGTTACCACTCGACACCGTACTTCTAACCGCTACAACGCTGTCAACCGAATATGCACGCGACGCTATCGCTCGTGCCGACCACGCACGTCAGATTGCCCGCTCTAGACTTTCGGCTTCGCAAGCCACCCAGAAAGCCATCTACGACAGCCGGCATGCTGACATTCACTTCTCACCCGGTTCTCTTGTTCTCCTGTGGTGCCCAGTTCGTCGAGTTGGCTTATCAGAGCAGTTATTGTCTCGCTACATGGGTCCTTACCGTATCATCCGCCAGGTAACCGACGTCACCTATGAGATCATTCCTGCATCTCAGACCACAAGCCTGCCTGCAACCCCACCCAGTGATGTTGTGCACGTCAGCAGGCTAAAACCTTACCACCTGCCTACTGAAGACCGTAGTTAATGTGCACCGAGACGGCGCTTTTACCGCCCGGGAGGGGGGGGGGGTAAGTAATGCTACGTAGCTGACGTATCAGCAGTCAAAAGACGACAACGAGGAAGTGGTCAGTTGGTTGTACGTGCTGCTTCCATCTTAGCCGACGCCATACGCATCAGTTTAATATACACGCCTCGTGTCGTTTTCACGTAACAATATTATTAAATTACTGGATGTGGCAGCAATTTTTTTCCATCTCGTTTATAAAAACCAATTTACAAATTGTGCATCAGAGAGTCTTTGCCAAAAAAGTATGAAAAGAAAGTAAGAAATCTAAAAACAAAATACTACGCATATATTCAGAAAGAAAGCAAGTATTCTTTATTGAAGAAAGAAAATCGTTTTAGTGTATTCATCATAGTTTGCGTTCAGTTGGTTCAAAAGATAGAGCGTAATTTTGGGGTCTTTCATGAGTTTTTAAAAACACATGTCTGTGAGATCGTTTTGTGCGTACGAGTATTTATTTCTGAAAATTTATTGGCTTAAATGTCTACAATTATTTACAAAAATGGTGAGGCTATGTGGTTTTCAAAGAGCGTCATGAAAAAATTACTATAAATAGCAACGATGCGTAGTTTTCGGTGACATTTTGAAGACGTGAACTATGGTGCTGTTCCGCGACTGTATAAGGGCCTAAGACTTCACGCCATTTGGCGGGTAAAACACAAATGTTTAATATCGTGAGAGTGACATGACGTGCGTTTAACACGAGTGAACGGCAGTGGCGCTTGGATTTAAAATGAGGTATATGGCCTAAGCGCAGGTGTCTCGTCAGTAGCCTTTGCGTCCGATGATTGCGAGGCACTTGGAAGTTTAATGTTCTCACGCAGCAGCAACCTCTAGTCAGAGGTGTCGTGCTACGAGAATGCCTGGGTATATGACGTTAATACTATTTGCATCATTTAAAAACGCGAATAATGATTGATATATAAAAAGCGGTTCCTTACCTAAGAACATTCATGGGTGCAAGGGTATATCATAAAGGAAGGCAAATGGAAACTGTTTTTCTAATTATATTTATTTCATAACTACAAAACAGCATGAAAAATTGACAAGAAACAGAATAGGCACACACACACAAGCGCACACTACTCTTAGGTATTTTATTCCTTCTACTGTATTAATACAGGAAGCACGGTGAGTAGTTCACCGCATTAACCACATACAATTGGATCGCCACTAGACAAAGGGTGAGCGTGTATTGTTTGTATGTCGTATTTTTGAGCTCTTAAGTGCTACTTCTGAGTAGCATGAGTTCGATATTGGCGTCTGATTCTCGAGATGCGGCTTGATGAGGCGGAGTTTATTGAGCTTTTGGCTGTCCCGTAAACGCTGCCAATAAACCCTGATCTTTCGTTTAACGAAGAGCTTGAGGTCGAGTGACGGGAGAGGTATGGATGTATAGGCAGTGGTGTTCTGGTGCGCGGAAACAGCTAGTTGATCTGCTAACACGTTTCCTTGAATCTCGCGGTGTTCTGGCACACAGCAGACTACGACATACTGTTCCTGTGCGTATATCGCGCATAAAAGTGAGCACACAGAGACAAGGACAGAATTCATGTCTTTTTAGGGTTTTCAGCGATCTTACCACGCTTAGAAAATCAGTATATATCGCAGTTTTTTACAGTTTTGATTCTTTGATGTGTTTTATCGCTGATAATATCGCGTATGCCTCTGTGGTGCCGAGACTGGTACGGGGAGCAGAACTCCTACATCGGAAAAATATGGACCGACTGCTGCGTAGGACACAGAAGTATGAGTTTTCGTTTGAAGCATCAGTAAAAAAACGGGAAGGAATAATAATGCTGAAGCTATTTCAGAAATGAATATTTAGGCTTTGTGAATATGTTCAATAGGTGCGCTTTTATTAACTTCAACAAATTACATATCACAATCTGTAATCTGTCAGTGCTTTGGCAGCACATATACAGCGGGAGCCGTCAAACTGTGTTCACCAAGTGGCATACCCATGCCTTCGGCTGGACTCCTCACACGGAATGTGTAGGGCTGTCTTATTTTGCAGCTACGCTGTTTTAAGCCTTGCGTGACCGCGCAAGATTCGGCATTTTAAGCTTCGGCTTTATTTGTTCAACAAAATGTGCTACAGATTTTAATTGACTTGCTTTCTCAATCGCTTTTTGCGTTTCGCTTCAGGATGAACACCTCAACCTCGATTTGAAGGCAGGAATGATAAAAGCGTATACGTGGTCATTGCGAGCATTCCAGGGAGCCTACCACTATTGCAGTTAAGAAGAACCCACTTCTCTGCAAGACAAGACACGCACACTGGCAGCTACTCATATTGTTGATGCTATTCTTGATAATGACAACGATGATCGTGGTTATTATTAATGATTGGTCTCATGTAACAGGTTTATACGCAGATGGTTATTTGGTAGGTTGCTGCTCGAGCAAGAATAATTATCATTGCATCTGGCTGAGCACCTCATTCACAGGCTATGCATACTGCTTTAACAAAACCAACAAGCCTGATGCTAGCACGGGCTCGTGGGCTTTTTAGAGCTATTGCGATAACACATAGATTTTGCTTTATCCTGGCATAAAATCTGAGAATAATCATACAAGGAACTCCATTGGAAAAAATATCGATATAGAACAATACATAAGCTTGTTGAGAATCACCGTTCTTTTAAGGTATTAATCAGGCAAAACCTCAAAATGTATCAACTAAAACGCAAAGCAAATACCGCTTCAGTAGGCTAAGAAAGGTACACTTGCCTGGAATTTCCAGTTTCATTTCATTGTAGTCATCAGAGGTAGTCGCAAGGTTTGGATGGTAAGAGAACTGAGCTTTTGCTGAAACAGCATTGCTAATAATGGGAGTACATAGGTCAATGAAATGCATAAATCTTGGTCACAGGGAGAAAAAAATTACTTACACCTCACCGTTAGACAACGTATAGCGTGTAATGTTTGCATAGAAAAAGTTCACGTCTTCCATAACATCAACACGGCACGTAATATTGGCTTTTTCAGTGCTGTTGTATACCCATATTGGATCGCAAGTGTTGAGAAACTGAAAGCAAATGTGATAAGCAACTCTATGAAGCACAAATGCATGTGAATAATGTATATGCATGTAGATGCTTTTCTTCAGCATCGATGTATTCCACGGGCAGTGTAAATGAGAAATTACAATGAGAAACACCATGCCGGATGGTACGTCGTTAACGCTCACTGCCCAGAGATATCTCATGGAATGTGAATTTAGCACTTGGTCTTTTTCAAACGTTCACTGAAATAGACCCTCCAAACTGTTGAAGTGTTCGAGCGCATCTCACAGAGAACAATTTTGTTAGCAGAAAGTAATGTGGGCTGGAATAGCATGGCATAGCAAGGAGAGGTAGAGGCAGGAGAGGGGAAAAAGGAAAGATCAGATGGGGAGTAAAAGGCAAATGAGGAGGAGCGGGAGCAAAGCATAGCACAGATTGAATGAAAAAAGAAAGCAAAGCCTCCCTGGGAACGTTGCTGTTCCAATGCCGCACGAGACCATAGCTCAGTGCCACCAGACCAGAAATTGGCAGTATATACACGGAGTGAATGATGGAGAGTGGGGCGAAGCATTCGTCCGTGCATTCGTTCTTGCTTCCGTCCATCCATGCGTCCGTCTGTGTGACCGTCCGTGCGCCCATCCGCCCGTCCGTGCGTGCGTCTGTTCGTGCGTCCATCCCTGTGTTCTTCCACGCATCCGCCCCTGCGTCCGTCCATGCGTCCGTCCACGCATCCATCCGTCTGTGCAGCCATCCGTGCGTCCGTCCATGCAACTGTCTGTGTGTCCGTTCGTCCATCTGTTCAACATTTCAAGTACCACCATATCGCATCTTTTCATCATATTGCCACCATTGATGAACGAGGCGCTTTGGCTCATACTCGGTTTGGGCTGCGAGGAAGAAGAGAACATTTTCGTGGCTCTGGTTTGGGTGAACTCCTGGCTGTAAATCTTGTTTTGCTCGTGACATTACTGGTGGAGAAGCTGGGTACGTGTACTTCGGCTGTGTCGGCCATCTTGGAGACGGCTACATCTCCCAGAGCAAGAAGCAACCGCCACCTGCGTGGGTTACCCCCTAACTTCGGTCCCTTGGTGTCGACACCCAGAAAGATGGCAACTCTGATGACAAGCCAGGCGGTCCAAACCAGCGATTCCCATGGTTCTCTCCTCGCACATGTTTTTCGTGCGCCACAGACACCAAAGCTGTTCCATGGAGACATCTTCGAGAATGCTGATTACTGGCTCAAACACTTTGATCGGGTTGGCAGTATCAACGAATGGGACGATGTTCGCAAGCTGCGCCAATTTTACTTCTACTTAGAGGATTCTGTGAAGACGTAGTACGAGAACCATGAGGGCTCCTTCGCAAACTGGCAAGAGTTTAGCCGACAGCTCTATGACGCCTATCACAACACCGAGAAGAAGGAAAGGGCTGAACAAGACACATCCTGCAGAAACTAGCGTCCGAACGAACGAGTATCCAAATTTGTCGAGGACATGCTTCGGCTCTTCAAGCGTGCGTATCCTGCCATGCCCGAGGAAAAGAAGGTGTGGCATTCGATGCGCGCAGTAAAAAAACAGGTTCTCGCTGGGCTCGTGCGCAATTCACCGACGACAGTCGCTCAGTTCAACAGTAAGGCAACCACGATGGAACGTACGCTGCAGCAGTTGTCGTCACAATACAAACGCCAGATTTCAGCCACCGCATACTTTATCGGCTCTGATAGTGAGAGACAGGACCTCGCAGACTTCATTGAAAGTATCGTTCGGAACGAATTGCGACAGCTCCAGGCAGTGGGATTCCATCCACCTGTGTCATCCATCGTGGATGTAATCAGACAAGAAGTCCCGTAGGCCGTCACACTCCTGGCCCCGATCACACCACCGATTCCCGAGGCCCCAGTCCTCACATAGGCAGTGGCATTGTGATCCCCTGCGCCACAGGCTACAGATCCGGATATGTGGCCAAGGTAGCAGGCTATGCAGCCATTCCACGACACTGCTTCGAGCTTGCCTCTCGGCTCAAGGTTCCCTTGCACACCCACCTATCTGCTGTCTGCCTCGAGACAAAGTGGTAGCAAGCGAAGCACGTGGCGCACATCGCATAACCGTCCGCTCTGCTATCACTGCGGCAAAGCGGGTCACGTATACCGAAACTGTCAATACTGGCAACTAGGTCTCTGTGGCTTCCACCCTGATGCTCAATGCCCGAGCTACGGTGAGCGCCCCCGCGAAATTGAAGCCTATTTCACAGGCCAGCGAACACCTTAGACGGTTCAGCATCACCAGAAGAGATAACCATCGCCTCGCCGGTCCAGGTCATCCAGTTTGCCCTCAACGTCTTCCGCTCCTTTCAGAAGCCGGTCACCAAGTCTCCGCAGGAGAAACTAGGAACGCCGACTTCTGGAGGTGAAGTCGCAGCTCGGCAAACTGTAAGAGACCCTCCTTCGACGATGCGACCGAACTAGGACCGTTCCGGTTTGGCACTGTTTTACGACAAAAGAAAGATCGTTTCCGCTGAAGTCGCCATCTTCGTCACCGGTGAAGACACCGGTGCCGACTATTTTGTAATGAGCGCCACACTGGCAAATGAACTGAGGAAGGTTACCACACCTTGGCAAGGACCCCAGTTGTGCATGGCATGTGGTTATCTGGAGATGCCTACTAGTATGTGCACGGCACGCGTTCGAATACGTACGTCGACATTTGCGGGCTCTTTTCTCGCATTGCGTGTGTGCTCTCGGCCAGTCATTCTAGGAATGGACTTCCTTCGTGAATACGGCGCCGTCATCAACCTCCGTGAGTTACTTGTGTTGTTCGAGGATCTTTTTTGCGCTGCAACTGAAAAAACACAATTCCGAAAAAGAGCACTCCGTGTTACCGACAATTCTGACTCTCCCACTCGAAGCAGCCTCTTTGTTGAACTCGAATTGAGACAGGAAATGTCTGACGCGGTAATTGCAGAGACCATTTAGTCTCTCCTTATTTAACGACAAATGTGTGTTGCCCGAGGAATCATTCAGCCTAGCAACAGGCATGTTCACCTCCTGGTCACAAACTTCCGCGACGAATATCGCCACCTAACGAGACACACTGCCATTGCATATTGTGAAGAGCTTGCCGATGCCGAAGGTTCGTTCATGTTAGCTTCATTTTCATCGAGGTGCCACCTTGACGAGGTCTTTGCGAGCACTCTCGACGTAAGCGAGAGACTACCTTCGGCTCAACGAGACAGCCTTTTGTGTATACTCGGCTCATTTCAAGACTGCTTTGCCACTACGTCAAAGGTTAAACAGACACCAATTTCTAAGCATCGTATCATCACGGAACCCACCGAGAGACCCATCCGACAACGTGCCTATAGGGTGTCGCAAAAAGAGCAAGGCACTATACATGACCAAGTCCAGCAGATGCTTCAAGACGACGTCCTCCAGCCATCGACCAGTCCCTGGGCTTTGCCAGATATGCTAGTAAAGAAGAAGGACGGTACGTTGCGTTTTTGCGTAGATTACCGTAAACTGGACAAGGTCACCAAAAAGGACGTTTATTCTCTAACCCGGACAGACGACTCGTTGAACCGTATACGCAACGCTAAATATTTTTCCTCCATGGATTTGCGTAGCGGCTACTGGCGAATTGCAGTGGATGAGCGCGACAGTGAAAAGACGGCGTTTATTACTCCCGACGGCCTGTACGATTTTAAAGTGTTGCCTTTTGGTCTATGCTCAGCGCCAACTACTTTTGAAACAATGATGGATACGGTCCTCACGGGGCTCAAATGGCAATCATGTCTTGTACAACTTGATGACGTCGTGGTCCTTGCAGACACGTTTGAACAACACGTCTAACGCCTTCGGGCAGTTTCTCAGGCAATCAGAACAGCGGGGCTTTCCCTCCAACCAGAGAAATGCCATTTTGAATATGAAGAACTGAAGTTCTTTGGTCACATTGTGAGCCATGCCGGCAACAGCCCAGATACGGAGAAAACCCACGCCGTTGCCATCTTTCCCGTGCTCACAAATAAGCGCGACCTACGCCAATTTCTGGGGCTCTGTGCGTATTACAGGCACGTTGTCAAAAACTTTTCGAAGGTTGCTGAACCCCTCAACAGGCTTACAAAAGACGGTGTCTCGTTTGTTTGGGGTCCCAATCAGTGCCATGCATTCGATACCCTCCTAAACCTTCTCCAGGCTCCGCCTGTGCTGGGTCAATTTGACGAAAGCGCCGACACGGAATCACACACTGACGCCAGCACCGTTGGAGTAGAAGCGGTATTAGTTTAGTGGCATAAAGGCGTTGAGCGCGTGATTGCTTATGCGATCAGAACATTATCCCCAGCGGAGAAAAACACTTCTGCAACCAAAAAGGAATGCCTCGCTGTTGTCTGGGCCATAACAAAGTTCCGCCCATACTTGTATGGCCGCCCATTCATGGTAGTTAGCGACCACCATTCCCTTTGTTGGCTCGCAAATCTCAAAGATCCTTCAGGTCGTCAAGCACGATGGAGCCTTCAGCTACAAGATTTCGATGTCACCATCGTCCACGAATCTGGACGGAAACACACCGACGCCGACTATCTGTCACGTGCACCGGTAGAAAATGCAAACACTGACCTTGAAGACAATGACACTTTTCTTTCTGCCGTATCAGCGACCTGCTTGGTTGAGCAACAGCGTCATGACTCGGAGTTCATCCCGTCCCGCTCATTGACTACCTGGAAGGACGCAATTCCCACCCTCCTCGAAGCTTTGCACCCTCACTATCCTCCTTTTGTTTTCGCGATGGAGTGCTTTATAAAAAGAACTTTACTCCTACTCAAGCTAACTATCTGCTTGTTGCACCAACTACGCTTCGTGGTGACATTTTACGTGCGTGTCATGATGAACCATCGTCCAGACACCTTGGCTATACGCACACGTTGCAACGGATCCAACGCCCCTACTACTGGCCACGTCTCGCAAAGACAGTGAAGCACTACGTTCGCACATGTCGCGACTGTCAGCTAGGCAAGATTCCAAATTTACGAC